CAGAGGCAGGCGGGCGGTCGGCCTGGTCGGCTGCCCTTCCGGCGGCCATTTATCGAGCGGGGCTGGGCGGGTGGTGGCACCCCGCCCCGCCTTTGATGCGAGGGCGGGGCCCGAGCGCGCTCCAACGACGGCCGCCGACGGACGTGCCTGGCAGTGCCTGCAGTCACTCACTTTGGTAGGAGGTGCTCCTGCGTCCCTTGTGCCACTACTGCCTCTTTTGGCTGACTCTCTTTGTCTTTCACTGCTCTCTTTTTTTCGCGTGCGCCTCTTCTGCGGATAGCAAGAACGCTACCAGTCGGAGCGATAATCAAACGGCCGCGTCGGTCGGGTTCAAGGTGGACCAAGGCGGGCCTTGGGGGGATGTTGTGGGCCAAGGGCGGGCGGGAGGTGCGTGCCGTGCCTGGGTGTGGCACGAGGTCGGCAGTGGCAGTCGCTCGAGCAGTGGGCGATAGACTGGGCGTGTGCGAAGAGGCGGAACGATAAGGCAGAGCACAGTTGCGAAGACGGCAGGGTGGGGCGGTGGAACCTGAAACGAGGGTCGAAGTAGCAATATGGCGCGGCCTGTGTGTGCCAGCAAGCTAGCTGGCTGGTGGCCGGGATTGGTGTGCTCGACCTCGGGGTACCGCGAGCGATCAACAGTGGTTGGACCTCTTTCGACGGCGACGGGTTGCGAGAGGAGGTAGGCTGTCTCCGGGGCGGGCTGATAAGGCGAGCGAGCAAGCAAAAGAGGGCGGGTGTCGGTAGTCGTGATGCTGGCTAGACAGCGAATGCCTGGAGGGGCGGGTAAGAAGCTGGTCGGGATGTCGGTCGTCGGAGGGCGGTGCGTGCGGCTATATCAAAAGGCAAGGTGCCGAGGGTCGAGATGGTTGTGCGGGTGCTGGAAGGGTCGGTGGTGACCGGGCAGGGGTGCAAGTCGGTCGAGGTGGTGGGGGGGCCCTGGCTACGAAGACAACGACGGCGACAGCGACAGCGGCGATAGAGCGATGGTGATAGCGGTGGCGACGACGGCAACGACGACGACGACGGCTGCTGGGTGCTGCGTGCCTGCGGAAGTGGGGTACGAGGGAGGGTCGAGGTAAGGTTGAGAGGGGGAGAGAGAGAGATGGGGCGACGGCGACAGGCAGGCGCAGGCAACGAGGCGAGGCGAGGCGAGGCGAGGCAGGAGGCCAGAACAGACCAGGCCAGAACGTAACCGACTAGCAGGCAGGTGGCCAAGCTGCAACGGGCAGAGGAACAGACCGACAGGCCAGGCCAGGCGAGCTGAGGCAGGTAGGGCATCTCGGCAGCCCCTCGACCTGACCGGGCCTGTCTGTCTGCCTTCTGGGCAGCGCTCCCAGCGGGCGGCTCAGGGACCACGCAGGAAAATGGCGGGCCACAAGGCTAGGACGGGGGGCGGGCGAGCCACCCAGCAGCGGCAGAGCGCAGCGTTGGGCGCCCTCGCTCTCGCTCTTCTCGCTTCCCGTGGCTGCGTGGTTGGGTGGGTGGGTGCGTGCGTGGGTGCGTGCTTGGCCTGGCCTGGCCTGGCCTGCCACGCACGCTGCTCGACGGGTAACTTTGGTGGCTCACCCCCCGCCCGCCAGCCAGCATGAAAGACGAGCCAGATGGCCAGCCCAGGCCTGGAGCATGGCCTGCCTAGCCTGGCCTGACCTGGCTTCAACGCACGCGCACGCGCACACCCGCCTCTGGTGGTCGCATCGCATCGCATCGCATCTCATCTCCGCCCGCCCTAGCCTGGCAAAGGCAGGCAGGCAGGCAGGCAGGCAGGCAGGCAGGCAAGCCAAGGCAGCTCATGGGCCAAGACCTACCCGCCCTCCTGCCTGCCTGTCTTCTGCCGCCAACAGCCCGGCTGGCTGGGCAGAGTTTGAGCGCCTACAGCGTACCAGGCCGGCCGACACGCCAGCACGGCATCCAAAGCGACCATGCCTGCCTGCCTGTCAAGTACCCATCCGTAGCGTCGTGGGCTCGTGGCGTGTGCCCGTTCGGGGTCCGGCGCTGTCTTGGCGCCCAGCCAAGCCCTGCCTGCCTGATCTCGCAACCCTCATCTGGCCTGGTCGCGTCTGGCTTGGCTAGGCTGCCCTAAGCCTAGGTGTACGTTGGAGTGCGAGATGGTGGTGTCGTTCGGCTCACAGAGGGCCGCGTCTATTCCTAGCCTGCCTGGGACGACCTCTCTGGGCCCGCTCTTCGGAAGAGCGGCAACAGACTTGGATTGATCGATCGTTCAAACGTCGCCGGTGAGGGCGTGGGGCGGCCTTGCTTTGCGTGCGTGCGCTGCGTCGAAGAAAGGCAGGCTCGTTGTGCGGCCCAGGTTGTGGCGGCAAGACAAGCAGCAAGCAAGCAGGCAAGGTGGGTCGCTCGCTGCCTCGCTCGCCCAGCCGCACATGTCCGCCAGCTGCTGGTTGGTCGAGACGCGCGCAGACGCCGTACCCACACAGGTTGTCGTCGGCCGCGCCCTCTGGTTCCTAGCAAAGGAACCAGGCAGGCCGGTCCATGTGTCGGGCTGGCCGCCCGCCTATGGACTCCTCTTGGGCGATGCAAGCAAGCGTACGTAGGTGCGTCCCAACGTAACGTTGGAGGCGCGGGTCCATCTCTCGAGCTGGAAGAGGCCAGCCAGGTCGTCCTGCTTGCGACGTCCAGGAGGCCAGCCGGCAGGAAGTCGAGGCAGGTCGAGGGCAGGGACAGGGACAGGGCTGAGACACCAGGAACATGCGCTGCGCCCGTCAGCCTAGCCTGGGGCGAGCCGCCCCATTCTGCGTGTGGGTGCGCGTGCGCGTGAGCGGCTGTCGTTACGGCATGAGACGCCAGCGGGCCTACTCTGTCTGGCCTGGCGGCATCAGAAAAGAGAAAAAGGCCAGGCCAGGCAAGCAGGGCGTTTTTGCCGGCTTGGGCAGGCGGGCGAGCGGGCACGCTTGCATGATCCCTAGCCTGCCTTCTGCCACCAGGCCAGGGCCAGGCCAGGCCAGGCCTGGCGGTGCCAGAAGAGCGGTCGAGCCCAGCATGGCGCGCACGAGGTCCGCTCGGCCCCCTCGGCCCCTCTCTCAGAGTAGTCAAGTTGGGTGATCCGGCCTCGACCCACCTTGCCCGCCCGTCTCAAAGCCGCGCTGCTGCAGTGCAGCAGAGTGCCTAAACAGGATGACCGACACCGAGCGAGCGTCGAGGATCGACATCCGAAGCGCTCCGAAGTTGGAGTGCGCTAGCGAGGGGCGAAGAGGGATGGAATCGAATCGATATCGAGATACCGTGGGGCGACGACGGGCGAGGGGTGGAACGCAAGCAGCAAGGATGTTTTCTCTGCTTCCTTCGGATGTCGTCGTACCTTTGTTCGGTCGGTCGGTCGGTCGGTCGCGGCAACCGGGCCGTCTGTGCGCCCCGGCAGGGGGCAGGCAGGCAAGCGCTCGAGCTCGCCCAGTTTCGTTTGCGCCGTCTCGTACCGTACGATGCCGCGGCAAGACCGGTCCACCGTTCGGGCCCAGGCTAGGGGTGCGGCCAGGACGGGGCGAGATGCGGCGAGGAAAGCCAAGAAGGGGTTCGGCATCCTTCCGCTCCGCTGTCTGTCTGCTTGCGCTTGGGCATCATCCTCCCGCGCTCCCCTACGGCCTCCTCCGACTGGGCGATACGGCAAGGGCAGGCCGAGCAGGCGAGCGACAGCGGACAGGAGCCACCGGAGGGCACTGGGGACGGCTGGAGCCAAGCGCTGCCCTTGCTTCGCTTTGCTTTGCTTCGCTCTGCTTTGCTTTGCTTTGCTTCCCTTTGTCGCGCGTGTCGGGTCGCGTCCCGTCGTCCAGGAACGTTTCTCTCGCCTGGCGAAAAGAGGAACGCGCCATCTGCATCTGCCTTGGCCTCGTCGGCCCGTCCCTCCCGGCTGCCTCCTTTGGCTCCTTTGCCCCCTTTGTGGCGTTGCCACACTGGTCCCAAATCTCGACCTCGTGCGAGCGCCGCCCGACATGGGCCTTTTTCGGACCTCTCCTCTCTACTCCAACAGAGTCGTGTAGCGCGGTATCCGTACGGCAAGACAAGGGAAGAGAAGAGGTCGAAGGGGAGTAGTAATCGGCAGGTGCGAGCGGGAGTGGGGGAGAAAAGCATCAATGCATGCGCGCGCGTGTGCGCGTGCGTGCGGTGCGTGCGGTGCGTGCGGTGCGTGCGGCTGCCGCACGACCCGAAGCTCGAGGCGAGGATATACCGGAGCCGCACTCCCCTTCTGCCCTGGTCTCGTCGGTCGTAAAGGCAATCGGGCGATGCGGGCGAGTGCGGTCGATCCCGTTCCTCTCGATTTACGATGCGATGCCGATACGACCCTCGAGCAGCAGGAGGGGACCGAACAAGCAAGCAAGGCTGGCTGATGCGGACGGTTGGAAGCGATAGCAGAGCCCAGCTAGCTTGCTTGGACGGTGAGGACTACTCGACTCGACTCGAGGGCCACGTGGATCAGCCAGTCAGCAGAGCAGCAGGTGATCCACATCTCTGGACCCGCCCGTTCCTCAAGTCCGAGTCTGAGTCTGAGACCGCCAGCCTGGCCTGTTTCCCTGGCCTGGCCTGCTGGGGTCGGCATAAAGCCGCACTCCCAAACCCGACCTGCCAGCCATGCCCTAGCCTCCTCTGCCCTCCTATCGTACCGTACCGCCGCCTGCCACGCCAACCACACGCGCTCCGCTTCATCGGAGTTGCCAGCCGTGCGTCAGCCCGGTGCGCCGCCAGCTTGGTTCTCGGCCTGCCAAAAACCCACTCTATCGGATCCGCGATCTGGACATGCCGCATCGGGTCCATGCCTGGCCCCGCCCCGCCCGGCGTCGTTTCGCATCCCGATCATCCCGCTCGCACGCGCACGGTCCCACTCCCCCAGCCTGACCTCCGCTCCATGCGTTTCGACTCACGCACTGGACTCGGACTCGACCCCCGTCGACGCCGCATGCGATCCGCTCCAATTTCAATGTCGACCGCCATACCTTCTTCCCTGGCCAAGAGAGAGAGAAGAAGACGGAGAGACAGGCAGAGAGACGAAAGACGGACCTGATCCGATACGCCAACGCCGACAACGACGACGACGACGACGACGACGACGGCGGCGAGACGACGTCGTGGAGCTGTTTTCCTTTCGACGATGACGACAGCGGCGATCACGATGGATGGTGGCGGTGGTGGTACTGGTACTGGCAATGGCGATGGCGATGGCGATGGCGATGGCGATACGATCCGACAACACAGCACGCCACACACAAGGGCGCGGGCGATACGACGACGAGGGAAGACTCGAGGACCAAGACACACCTTCTAGACGGACGGACACGGCGGCGGGGTGGGTTGGGCAAGCATGGCTACTATTCAAGGCGGCTCTCGCTACCGGATCCTCTGCTGAGCCGCCCCATCAGGCAATCGGAATGCCCGCCGGGTTGTTGGCCGAAAAGATAAAGAGGTTGTTTGTCGCCGCAATCTGTACGGTGGCCAACGAGGCGAGGCAAAGCAGGCAGCGACATCGTCGTGGGGCGCCACGTCAGCATGTGCGAGGCCACCAGCACCGCTGCAGCGCCACATTGCCATCCCTGTCGCCGTCGCCGTCGCCGTCGGCGGCCTACTCACAGCAATCGTGTTCTCTCTTGGGTGGTAGCTGGCGTGTAGGATCTTTTTGTTAAAGTCCTGCGGCGCAGCGAGGAAGCGGTGCGCAAAGGGCGAGAGGGCAAACCAAGGTCAGCGACAGTCTTCCTCGCTTTGTCCACCTCGTCCTCGCCCTCCTCGTCCTCGTCCTCCGCAGCGCGACGAGACCCACCAGGTTGTCTAGGTTCATCTGCCCCGCGGCGCCCAGCGCGGCATTGGCGGCGCCCTTGTTGCCCTTTTTGCCCGCGCCCGCCAGCTTCTTGGCCTTGAACGCCGACTTGTCGGCCTGCAGCACCACGTCGGAGCTGTCGTCCTTGTCGAACACGTGGAAGTAGTTGTTGTAGCTGCCCGTGAGGACCTTCTTGCCGTCGGGCCCCCACAGCGCCTCAAACTTGTCAAAGATGCAGTCGTTTTCGTAGAGGTCGCACAGCTTCGACCGCAGGTGGTCGTGGATGGGGATCGTCTTGACCGGCTTGTTCTCCATGTTGACGTCCCAGATCTTGAGCGTGAGGTAGTCGCGCGACAGAATGTACCGGCCGTCGCGGCTGAACTTGACGTCCGAGATGCTGCTGATGATCTCGCTGAAAAACGACTTGTTTGACGGGTCGTCTTCCTCTTCAAACTCTGTAAGAGGGGGCGGGTGCAAAGTGGGAGCCAGAGACAGGGGAGCGAGGAGCAGCGATCAGAGCGGCGGTCGTGCCGGTCAGTTTCGCTGATCGACGCTTCGGTGTCCGGTCGCACGGGCGCTCTCCCTCTCTGCGCAATTCTTCCCCTGCGCGCATGCGGGGCAACCGCCGCGGCACTCACGCTTGGCATGGGCGTCGCACAGCGCCGAGTCGCGCATGTCGGCCAGCTTGATGGTCCCCTTGGAGCTCGAGTAGACAAATTGGTTGCAGTGCACCGGGTGGAACTCGGCGGCCGTGATGACTTCGGTCAGCTCCTCCATGTTGACCGGCTTGATGTCGACAATGTCTGCACGGGGCCGGGGGGGCCCAGGCAGGGCGAGGGGGAGCAGATGAAACCAGCGTGATGGTTCCGGTCAGCGGCCGTGCTGCTGCGCTGCGCTGCGTTGCGGGCCGACCGCCACTCACTGAAACTCTGGTCGCTGATGTTGAGGTTCCAGAGGTTGATGCGCAGGTCGTCGGCCGAGATGTACGTCTCGCCGTCCGAGTTGACCGAGATCGAGTTGATGTGGTAGGCGTGGGCGTTGGCGTAGATCTTGCGCGGGACGGCGGCGACGATGGTGTCGTGCAGCTCCATCCGCGGCAGCCGCAGGTTGACGCCGCTGCCCGGTGCTGGCGTCGGCGGTGGCAGCAGCGACGGGTGCAGGCTCGACTGCGGCGGTTGCCGGAAGCCCTCGGACGACAGGTTGTTCTCCGACACCACCTTGAGCGACTTTTCAAACACCTTCCATAGCTTGATCGTCTTGTCTGCAGGCGGGCCAGATTAGCGAGGCGGCGAGGCAGGAGCAGGGAGGCAGGTCAACGAGTCAGCCGGCATCCCTCGCTCGCAGTAGCATGTCACGCCAAGGCCGAGGTCCGGAACCGCCGAAAACGCACCGTTCGTGCTGAGCAGGAAATGGGCGGCATTCTGTCTTCGGCACCACTTGATCTTGTTGATCTTTTCCTCGATCTCGAGCGACTTGAGGTAGTCAAACTCTGGCTCGTGGCTCTGGAACTCGGTGTGGAACTTGTACTCGCAGCCCTTTTTCTGGCGGCGCCGTATCGGCATCGGCCCGCGCAGGCAGCAAGGAAAAAGGGGAAAAAGGGTCAGCGGTCGTATCCGAGAGTCGTTGCGCGATGCAGGAGCAGGGATAGAGCCAAGGGCGGAAGCGGAGCAGAACGCAACGCACCGACTCGTTCCTCTCGAATAGGACCACACGACCTCCCTTGTCTCCGGTAGCGAGATAGTCGCCAGTGTGGTCAAACTCGACGGTCGAGATGATGTCGGCTGTGGGCCGGCAGGCGGGTGAAAAGAGGGGGTCCGTAGCAGGAAAGAAGCGACGACGATCAAGCTTGGGGTCAGTTCGAAATTTCAACGTGTGGACAGCCGGCGGACGACGTCTTTCTGGAGCTCAAAGACGAGGACGGCGGCAGGCGCTGGTTGCCGCATCTTTGTGCTCGCCTCGGACTTGGCAGCGGGGGCCGATGGCTGTCTGGGCGAGGCGGGAGGGGCCCCCTGCCGCTTGCACCCAACCGACCGCACGCGTCTCTCAATCTTGAGCTGTCGCTGGCCCCGGTAGCCAGGGCGAGCGCCACGTGCACGCCTCTGTCGGCACTCACCCTCGGTGATGTCCTCGACCTCTCCCTTGTCGCCAAAGCACTGGGCGAAGCGCCAGCCTCCAGAGGGATCGCCGTCCTTTTCCATGCCGAGGGTTGTTTGACCGCGGCGGCTTTGGCTGCGGCGTGGGAAGGGGAGCGGATGGGTATGAGAGGGTTGGGGCGCGGTTGCAGGTATGTGTCCGTGTGGGTCTAGCTCAGGGAAGCAGCAGTGGCCTCCAGGCTGTAAGCAGGGTCACGGTACGGGCGCGGAAGAGACGAGGAGCCCAAGGGGGAAGTGGGCCGAATCAAGAGGGCTGTGCCAACACGAGGCGAAGTGGTCGCGTGCGGTTGGTGGTATAGCGGCCGCTGTGGTCGAAAGAGAGCGGGGCGGGGCGGGGCGGAAAGGTGCGGAACGACGGCGGTCGATTCGCAGACTGGCTCGGCAGAAAAAGGTGAGGCCGAGTGACTGAGTCAAGCAAGGGTGGGCCAAGCAAAGGGCGACGTGGCGCGCAAGGATGGCAGTAGTGGGCGCGCGCTTGACCCGCTCAGCGGCGGTTGTTGGCGAGGAGAAGGGGCTGCGCAAGCACTCGAGGGGGCTGCGCGATGCACTCGAGAGGCGACGGTGGGCCAGTCGCTCGTAGAGCGTTTGGCAGACGGCGAGGTCGAGGCGGTGGCGTGCGGAGCTGGCGCTGGTGCTGGCGGTGGTGCTGGATGCGAGGGTGGGTGGTGGAGGGAGCGCGCTGTTTGGGCGGTGCTACGCTGCGCTGCCGGGTGTTGGCGGCGAGGTGGTGAGACGGGAGCGATTTGCGTGGCGATGGTGCGTTTGTGGTTGCGTTTGGTGGCGGCAGAGTGGGTGCGGAATGATGATTGAGTGGAGGTGGTGATGGAAGGGGAGAAAGGCCAACGTCGAGCCACGGAGCGAGAGCGGATGCGGCTGCCTGCCTCTGGCCTGCTTGCTTGCCTTGTGAGCCGTGAGCGGTGGGCCCTCCGTGACCGAGGCCCGGCTCGAGTCGAGTCGAGTCGAGGCGGTCTGTGTGCGCCGCCGCGTCTCTGTGTGGCCCCTGGCCCTGTCCACTCACCTCAGAGAGGCTAGGGCTGGCTGGCTGTCCGGCCACCCCGCCCCGCCTGCGAATAAGCGCCTGCCTGCCCTGCCCGCCCTGCCCGCCCAGGTGGAGAAAAAAAATCGAAAAAAAAAAACAGAGGGGGCAGCCTGGCGGTGAGTGAGGTCTGCCCAGCAGGCCAGGCCAGGCCAGGCCAGGCCAGCCAACAAATCGCCGCCGCTGCCAGGCCGACCGATCCAGGGGTCGAGCCAGGGCCAGGGCCAGGGCCAGGCAGCGCGCCGATCAGCACCAGCGCGCGAGCCCATGCCCGGAGCCTCGTCCCTGGCTCAACGGCAAGGCCCCGATGCATCCTCGCCCTCGGTAGCCTACTGTAGCCTGCCTCGACATGGCCTCGCTGGCCAGCCAGACAAACAGAGGGGCAGCTGCTCGATGCACAGCTCCAAAGCGCGCGACGGGCAGCCCAGCAGCGCGTCCAGCCGTCCCCACGAGCGGGGCATCGACGGCCTGCCGGCCAAGCGGCTGGGCTGGCAACGGGGCCCGTGCGCCTGCCTGTCTGGCGTCATCCGGTCGGGGGGAACCTCGACATCGCCGATCCGGATCGCGACCTCATCCATCGGGGGCTTGCATCGGACCAGGCGACGAACCCCGGCACTCGGACTTGGCCGCCGGGCCTGTCAAGCTGCAGCCAGCCCCAGCTCCTCGCAGCCCCTCGCAGGCTCGCTCTTGGCCTCCACCACCACCACCGCCGCCGACGCCCATCCCTCCCTCTCCTCCTCATCTCCTCTCTCGCCTTCTTTTGCAACACCGCTAGCCCGCTGACAGACAAGCAGATCAGCAAGTCAGCCAGCCATGTCGGCCTCATCATCAACGACACCACCTCCGGCACCCGTCGAGCAAGGGCAGCATAGCCCCGCAGAGACAAGCACCGCAACGGCCCCCGTCTTCAAGAAGCGAACCCGAACGGGCAAGGTGGGCCGCATCGGCCTCTCGTCGTCGTCGTCGTCGTCGTCGTCACCAGCCATCGCCACTTCCGCTGCACACGGCCCATCACCAACGTCGGCATCACCACCATCAGCGACAGCTCCTCCGAAACACGACGACGCCACCGCCCCCGCTCCCTCGACCGCGGGGCACGACCAACCAGAGGGTGGTCCGCATCACGGCGACAGCAACGACGCCGACAAAGACAACGCCGCCGCCGACCAGGACGAAGACTCGACGCCCATCTCGGACCTCATCACGCTCCGCCAGTTCACGCGGCGCCCGACGGGGATAGCCCTCGACCGGCTCAACGTCGGCGACGTGGCGGCCAAAAAGAAGAAAAAGAAAAAGACGCACGCCGAAATGACAAAAGAGGAGCGCTGGGAGGAACAGATGCGCCGCGGCGGGCTCGTATCCCACCCCATGGCCGGCGGCGACGACGACGGAGACGCGGCGGCGGCAGACACCGACGAGCAGCAGGGCGCAAAGCGGCTCCTCCGCAAGGACAACTTCCAGACCGAGACGGGCACCGTCGACGTCGACAAGCACATGTGCGTTCTCCGAGGTTCGCCAGGGTAAGAATGCGTCATGCTGACCCCTTCCCTTCCTCTCCCTTCCCTTCCGTGCCCGTCCGCGCCCGCCCGCCCGACGCCTCGACGCACCCACCAGGATGGCCTACATCGAGTCGGAGCTGGCAAAGCGGCGACACCCTTCCGCCGGCGGTGCCGCCCAGGACGCGTCGTCGTCAACCTCCTCCTCGGCGACGACCACCGTCACCTCGTCGGCCTCGACGTCGGCATCGACGCTCCAGATCAGCCAGGACGACCTGTACCGCCTCTCGGAAAAGTACCGCGCGCTGCAGCGCTCGGCGCGCGAGCTGACGGGCAAGGTGGAAAAGACGCAGGAGGAGCAGGAGGGCAACGTCACCCTCTCGACGGCCATGCTCAGCAGCATCCCCGAAATCGACCTCGGCATCGACGCAAAGATGCGCAACATTGAAAAGACCGAGCGCGCCAAGCGCGACCTCGCCGGCAAGACGGATGAGCGAGACGACCGAGATGAAAGCTACGCCGCAGCTCGGTGTGAGTGTTGGCCCGTCGCTGCGGGTCGGAGCGAAAGAGACAAAGATGGCAACTGACGAATGACGATCTCTGCCCTCCCCTCTTTTTCCCTGACCGGGCGCAGTCTTTCGACCGTCGTACAACCGCACGCGGACCGATGCCGAGGCGTCGCAGCGTCGTGGCGATCAACAGGGTGCCGGTGCCGGTGCCGGTGCGTCGAGGAGCAACAGGAGGGAGATGGCGTCCGACCAGTTCGTCCTGGACCGCTTCAAGAAGCGCCAGCGCAACTTTCGGTAGCACGGCGCAGCAGGGAAGTTGGCAGTGTTCGTCGTGCGTGCGTCGTGCGTCGTGCGTCGTCGTCGTTTGTTTGTCGTGCGTCGTAGATGTCGTCGCGGATGTCATCGAACACTACACAGTCAGCCGCAGCATCTGTGCGCTCAGAGAGTGAGGATCCCGTCGCATCGCCATCGTCGTCGTCGTCGTTCGTTCGTTGTTGCAGGCGCGTAGAGCGACGCGAGGTATACACCCGTCCTTCCTCACGCAGCGCGCCTCGACCGACCCATCGAGCACGGCACGGCACGGCACAGCCCGCCCCGTCGACGCGCCCCGACGGCGCGCTATGCGAATCCAAAGAGGCGCTTTGTGCGTTTGCCCTCGACCTTTTCCATTTTTCCCTCTGCGGCGTGCATCTTGTTCTGGGCGGACTCGACCTCGTCGTCGAGGGTGCGCAGCAGCTCAGTCTGCTCCTGGAGCTCAGTGTTGATCGTCTCGCCGAGGTGGCGCTGGCGGCGCAGGATGGCCGTGAGGCCGTTGAGCTGCTCGTCCTGCCGGTCCATTTCCTGCTGCTGCGACGTGTAGAGCGCCGCGTTGCTCGAATTCGCCCGGTCCTGTGCTGCTGCTGACGAGGAGGCGGTGGGGGCGCCCAGGGATCGGTAGGCCGTCCCGCCGTCCTTTGACGTGGACGATGACGACGAAGCGGGGAGGGATCCGGGCAGAGTCGATGTCACCTTGGCCGACGAGCTGGCGGCGGCGGCGGCGGCGGCGGTGGTGGATGTAGCGTTCCTCGTCGATCCCTCGGTCGCCGCAGTGGACTGGCGAGATGACGATGGCGGTGGAGCCGGGAGGGGCAGCTCTTCCGGCCACTCGAGGAAGGCCTTGAACGCCCTGGAATCCCTCCACCGGGGCCCGGCGCTCCACACATCAAAGAGGTACCTCTCCAGCCCCTTCCTCCTCTCCTCCAACTCCCCATCAGCATCACCACCCTGCTGATGCAGCATCTTCGACCCGCCGCCGCCGCCGCCGCCGCCAACGATGCGCTGGAGAAAGTAGGAGCCTGCGTTTTGTTTGCCCGGCAGCGTGGCGGGGGGAGCGCCGACCGAGGCGGTGAGCTGCGAGTGGAGCGTGAGGAAGGCAGAGTAGCGCCGCTGCACCGACCACGTCTGTACGGGTAGCTGCAGCACGACGGTGTAGTGGATCGGCAGCGTGCTCGTGTACCGCGGTATCGTGATGCTCTGCAGCTGCTGCCGCGACGAGGCCGTGGATGAAGGCGGTGGTGGTGGCGCCATGATGGATGGGGCGTGCGGTTGGGCGACGGGTGTGTGGGGATGGATGGCGCGGAGGTGGGTGGTTGCTTTGTTGGGTTCGGTGAGGAGAGGTGTTGGTGGCGTTGAGAGCAGCGGCGGCGGCGGCGATGATGGTGGTGGCGCAAGGAGAGAGAGGGAGGAGAGGGGACGCGGCCAGGGAAAGCCAAGAGAGGGGCCCATCCCCCCGCATGCAGCTGCTGTGGAGGAAGGGCCAAACCGCCGACCCCCGCGCTGTGCCGCGCCGCCCCAGGCCACCCTGCCTCTCTCGGCCCTCCTCACCTCTCCTCCCCTCTCCTGGCCCGAGCGCGCTCCCCCTCGACCCACCCGGCAACACCAATACTGCGGCCCATGCGACAGACGGACGCACATGTAGCGCTTGTTTGCCCTGCGCGCAGTGGCGAGGCGATGGTAGCATTCAAAGGCATGAGAGGTGCGGTGTACAGCGAGCAGAGAGGGAGAGAGAGAGACAGAGAGAGGGAGGGGGAGAGAGAGGGAGGCCTACAGGGTACAGCTGGGTATCAAGAAACAGGAGAGCGAGGTGGAACCATCCAGCGAAGAAGGGAATAGAATGCGGACAGGGAGGGGGCAATACGAGGGCAAGGAGGCAAGACAGCTTGTAGGCATAGAGCTGGCGGGCGGGCACGGCAACAAGGGAAGCAAGCAGACCAGCCGCGACGAGGCTGCGGCAGCGCTCATCTCAACAATCGTTGGGCGTCTGCGCAACCGCCATGGCTGGTCCCCCTGCCGCCGAAGCCGACGCCGATCGAGGCGGCATCAGCGGGCGGGCGCTGCAGCTGGTTGACGACGGCGCCCGGTGTCGTCCCCCTCCCGCCGCAGCTGCCCGCTGCGACTGCGACTGCGACTCCGACGCCCCTGGGTGCGTCACGCTGCCGCTGCTTGCGTTCGCCATGGCCTTGGACGGGCTGGTGGGCCCCATCGCCGAAGGTGCGAGATTTGACGCTGGCGGCGGCTGCAACTGCTGCTGCTGCTGCCCCGGCCCATGCTGGCCAGGCTGCTGCAGCTCAGAGGCGCCGGCGTCCGACCCGATCCCGCCGCCCGTCGCCGCCCGCTTGGGCTCCGAACCGCCGGGCTCGGCGTGGAAGTAGGGCATGGCGACGTCGTCGCCGTCGTCGTCGTCAGACGACTCGAGGTCCTCGTTGTGCTCCTCCTCGTTCGGACCGCGGTCCTGCGACAGCCTCGTCAGCATCTGCAGGAAGCTCGTCATGTACGAGTAGCCCCGCGTGTTGGTCGCCGTCCGGTTGAGCACTGCCAGGTCGCGTCGACAAGTGCGAGTGCCAGAGAGGAACACGGAAGCGGCGGGGTCAGTATCGCGGCTCGCTACTCGTCCCAACCCGCCTCGTCGGCCTTGCCGAGCCAATCGCCGGGTCACTCACAGCTCGAGACGACGTAGATGATCTTGGACGTCATCGACTGGCCGTTGCTGGCGAGCGCCTCGAGCGGCATGCCGTGCAGCACGTCGAGCATGTCCTTGGCCGCCGCCTCCCAGCCATCTTCGCTCTCGTTGTAGCCAAACGCACCCGCCTCGCCCGGACGGTTGCCGCCGCCGAGGCCGCCGTCAAAGTCGACCTGGCCGCGTGCGCGCAGGTCGGCCACGCGCGCGCCGATGAGCTCGCGATACTCGACCATGACGAAGCGGACCATGGCCTCGGTCACAATCACGTTGGCGTGCAGCGTGCAGAGCGGCGAGAGGATCGGCTCCCGCTCCCGCTCCCGCTCCGGCTGCGGCGGCGGCGAGGGACGGAACGCGTTGACCTGATCCATGGCCATGGCCGTCACCGCGGGGTCTGTCTCGCTCTCGGGGCGCGGCTCAATGTCCATGGCCATGCTCGGCGTCGAGAAGCCCGTCTTGCTCGCCGCGCCCGGTGCGTTGCCGTACAGCTCCTCGAACGGGTTCCACTGCTCGCTCGAAGTCGTGACGGGGCCGTTGTAGCCGCCGCCGCCGATGCCGCCCGGCTGCTGCCACTGCGACGAGGCCACCACCGAGGCCGCCGCCGACATGCCCGGATAGCCCTCGCTCAGCGACCCGGGCCCCGACGTCGGCACGCTCTGCACGCTCTGCGCGCGCGGCGAGTGGTTGGCCGACGAGTTGTTGGACGTCGCCTCGGCGTTGGGCAGCCCGTCCTTGTCGAAAGCATCGGCAGGCCACGGCCACGCCGGCTCGCTGCCGTTGTGGACGCTGCTGGCGCTCTTGCCGCCAAACAGGCTCGGCGAGAGGGGCCTGGACATCCCGATCGCCTGCAGCGGCATGCGCTGCTGTTGTTGTAGTTGATGTTGCTGCTTCTGCTGCGAGTGCTGCTGCTGCTGCTGCTGGTCGAAGGGACCGCCGCCGAGCATCGTCAGCCGCGACCCGACATCCGGCAGGCCGACGCCCGCCGGGCGCGACGAGGGCGGCGGCTGGTGGGTGAACTGCGGCTTGCGAAGCTGCTCGGGCATGTCGGCCAGCGTCTTGCGCACCCGCTTGAGGATGTTGGCGATGTAGCCCAGGCGCGACTTGGCTGTCGGGAGGTCGTTGGGCGGGAAGCGGCGGTCGCGGCGGTACATCTCGAGCAGCTCGCTCAGCAGCTGGTGGAGGCGGCTGACGGTGACGAAGCCGCACAGCAGGCTCGGCCCGCGCTGCTCGAGGTGCGGCGAGGTCAGCGTCTCCTCGTCGACGGCGAGCGGCAGGTCGACGCAGGTATCGATGTCGCGGATGAACATTGGCTCGTCCTGCAGCACCGCAATCGTCGTCGAGCTGCCGTGCAGCAGCCAGAAGAGGCGCTTGCGCAGCTCGCGCTCGACGGCGTTGACAGGGCGTCGAGGCACACTGCCGCCGCCACCGGGACCGCCACCGCCACCGCCGCCGCCGCCCAGCCCGAAGCCAAAGGCGTTGCGAGCGCTGTGCGGGTCGAGACGACGCTCGTCGTGGATACCGAGCGTATAGGCGACGCGCACCGCCTCGCCGAGCGCGGCATTGGCCGCATTGTTTTGACCGACGGTGCCGAGGTAGATGTGGTCGCAGTAGAGCGTGGCGACGTGGAGCAGCTGCGGGGGGTCGTACCGCCGCGGCTGCATCCGGCGCGAGGTGCGATGGCAGATGCGGTGCAGCTTGCGAAAGAGGGACCAGGGCGCCGGGATCACCGTGCGCGGGCACTGGATCAGCGTATACGCCGTCAGGCTCAGCACAAACGCCAGGAAGGTCTCGTCGCGGGCGTCGCGGCGCGTGATGAGGTCGAGGCTGAACGAGGGCCGGTCGACGATGGGCATCAAGGGCCAGAGGTAGTGGAAGTAGAGCGCCAGCACCGAGAGGAACGTCTGCCTCGGCGCAATGTCGTCGAGCGAGCGCGGCCGCATCACGGGGCCGGCATACACCTTGCTTAGCGACGAGTGGCCCCTCGCCTTGCGCTTGCCGCTGTACGAGCGCGGGCGCAGCGGACCGCTGGCGGCGCTCTCCGAGTACGATGCAGGCGACTGCAGCGGCAGGACCGAGCTGGCCATGGCGGCCGAGTTGGGCGACTGGCCGCGCGAGTCCGGAGGCAGGGGCACCTGCAGCGGCACCGACTTGACCTGCGACGAAGCGGCGGCGGCAGCGCCGCTGGGCTGTAGGAACATGCCGATGTCCGCGGCTCGCTGAGGCTGCTGCTGCTGCGACGGCTGTTGCTGGAGGTGGTGCTGAGGCTGGGCGTGGCTCTGCGAGTGCTGCTGTGCGTAGAGCTGGACGAGCTCAGCGGCACCACCTGCGGCGCCCCGAGACGGGGCAGAGGCAGAGGAAGCCGCAGCGGCGCCGTCGAACCCAGACAGATCCGACCAGCGCCGATCAAGCTGGGCCATCTGGACGTCGCCACTCGAGGCAGAGGACTGCTGACCCGCCATCGAGCCAGAGCCAGTCAAGTCGCCCGCCGAATTGAGCGCCGGCGCCACTGAACCGAACGGCGACAGCGACATATCGAGCGCATGGCGGCCCGTCGCGAAAAAGTCGTGGCTGCCGCTGCTGAGCGGCGAGGCGCGGACGTGGCTGCCAAACGCGGGCGGGGGCGGCACGGGCCCCTGCAGCGACTGGGAAAAGGCCTTGTACCAGGCCTCGTCGAAGCCGTCGGCGATCTGCGCAGCGCTGTAGCTGCTGATGCCGCCGCCATCGTGATCGTTGCCGCCGCCGTTGCCGTTGCTGTTGAGGCCGTTATTGTTGATGTTGCCGCCGGCCGAAAACGGAGGCACATCGGTCGATGGAGAGGGCAGGAGCTTGGCGGGGACGGCCTTGCCGCGCGACTGGCCAAGCGCTGCGGCAGCTCGCGCCTGGGCCTGGGCCTGCGCCAGCGCCTGCTGCTCGCGCTTGGCGGTGCGGGCAAACGAGCTCTGCGGGCCAGGTCGCTTGGGGATGTAGTCGAACGTGCACTTGGCCTCGATGGCGCGACACTGTACGCAGCGCTGATCCGCCCCCGGCTCGAGGCCCTCGACTTGGAGGCGAACGCACTTGATCTTGCGCGATCGGCACGTGTCGCACGATTGTGGCCGCTTACGCTTGACCGCCGGCTGCTCCGAGGAGCCGTCCTGGCGCTCGGGCTTGGCATCCGACGCTGCCTTGGCCGACGCATCGGCGCGACCGGCCTGCTGCAATGCCGTCGCCGATGCCGATGCGACACCCTGAGCCTGGACAGTCGGCGCCGCGTGGCGTGGAGCTGCGACGTCGGGAGCGCTCATCTCGTCTTGGAGAGTGAACGTGTCGGTGCGGCCCTGGCCGGGGTTAAAGGCACCTCTGTGAGCGATGTGGAAGAAGCTGACTGTCCGTGTGACGCGTGCTGGAAAGGTCAAAGAACCGGGTGCGAGGCTTGGCGACGGTTTCCTGAGGCGCGCTTCGGCGGCGTCTGTATTGGCGGGTGCGGATTGCGGCGAGGGTCGGAAGCGGAGATGCCTGGTTGGCCGTCGACTCAGAGCGCTCCCATGGTGCCCAGTGCAGGACGAGGGGGGACGAGGTAGGCAGGCGACCGATCCAGGGTCAAGCGTCGAGGAGGCGACAAACGTGCGCTCTTGGGCCAGTACCGCGTCGATAGGGCGAGGTTCGAAGCGGTGGAGCGGGCTCGCGTCTGCTGGCAGTCACGGCCTGCGATGTAGCAGCGATGCGCTAGGTGCCCAGCCTCTAGGTGCGAGCGACGAGAGTTTCCAGCTCTAAGCACGAGCAAAGAGGTCACCAGTCCGTGGTCGAGGTCGAGGTGCGGTTGCGCAGCAGGGCGCAAAGAGGTGGCCGAGATGCTTCAAAAGACGTCGTGCGAGCTGGTCCAGGATCGTGGCCGTCGGTGGAACACAACAAAGAGGGTTGGCGGGGTAGTGCAGATGCGGAGGAACGTGGCGGTGGCGGTGGTGGTGATGGTGGTCGGTAGATCAGACGCGGGCAGGGGCGGTGGCAGCAGTGTCGAGGCCGGGCTGCACGACCGCTGGTTGGCTGGTACGGATCTGCAGAGCCGGCTGTCTGGCTGCTTCCGCTGCGTTGGCGTTGCGACTGGTGCAGTGCCGCTGGGCGATGGCGACGGCGCTGTACGACGAGTCAGAGGCGCAGGTGGCAGGCGGCGTGCTGTCGACGATGAACGTACAGTGGTGACGAAGCTGCCGCTGCTGCTGAGGAAGGGTCGAGATGGGCAGCATGCCAGGGTCGTCGCGGCCGTCGAGAGGTACGTACAGCCGCCCAGCCATCCAGCCAAAGTCGGCGGCTCGTGCTGCTGTGCCATGTCTCTGCCATGCTCTGCCCTGCTGTGCTGCAGCCCAGACCCGCCGCCTGTTGGTGTCCCTATGCCTGCAGAAGCAAGGCGGGCAGGCAGGAAGGCAGCCGGGCGATGATGTGATGCGATGCGATGCGACCCAACGCTGTCGCCAGGAGGCCGGCCGGCCGGCCAGCAAGGGCGACAAGGGGCGAGGCCAGGCGAGACGGAGGGCCGTACGATTTTTGGGGCAGTCGTCGCGAGCGGGCGACCGGGCGTTTCCCCTCGTTGAGAAGAAACGGCCAGGCCGGTGGCCCGAGACGAGACGAGAGGCGGGCGAGATGTTGAGGATGGCCCGGCTGGACAGGCAGGGGCTGCTGGCTCGCTGTTCTGGATCTGCAACGGGTGTCGGAGAGCCAAGAAGAACGAAGGCGGCGGCGGGTTGCAGCGCCGTCGACCGACGCTCGCCCGCTCCCGTGGGCAGGCAGTCGGCCAAGAGGGGGCGCTGCAGAAATTATTGAGGTCCGTCGTCGTCGTGCCCACTCTCCCGCCTGGCCCCCTCGAAGGCCAGCGTGCCCGCGGAGATGCTGGAGATGGTGCTCGGCGCCGTCGTCGTCGTCGTAGTCGTCTTCTGCCTCCTCATGCTGGCGGGCTGAGACGATGACGATGACCGTGGCTGCTGCTGCTGCTGCTGCTGATGCTGTTGCTGTTGCTGTTGCCCGGCAATCGCAGCGAGCCAGAGAGCAGATCGATAAAAAAGATCCAGCGCGTCGAGGGCGTGGCAGGGCAGGGCGGCAGGGCCCTCGCTCGCCCGCCCGCCCGCTCTGGATTTTTCGAATTCGAAAAAGTTCCAAAAACCCGAGCGAGCTGCATCTGCCCGCTGCCTGCCTGCCTGCCTGCCTGCCTGCCTGCCTGGCTGCGTGCGTACTGGCTTGCCTGCCCGTTTGCCTCGACTCGAGGGGCGAAAAATCAGCCGAGACCGCGGCGGCGGCGGGCGTGGCTCGCTGGCTCCAGATCCCGACGGACGTCTGCTTGCCGCGTGGCTCGTTCAACGCAGCCGTCAGCCGACCGCTCAACCGACCGAGCGACCGACCGACCACCGCCAAACCAGCGCCGACGTCGACGACGACGAGCGACGACGACAACGGCAAGAGCGAATGCATGGCACTCACCTGCTCGGCCAAGGTGAGCATCTGCCGCTTTGCCACGTATCGCCTCCCGCTGGGCCGTAGTCGATCCGCTGCTCGTCCGAGGCGTCGACTCGGTGATGGGGGCGTCGAGGAAGAGCTGGGGAGCCGTGCCCGGGCCCCGGGACTCGAGATCCGCGCGCGTGGCGGCCTGGCTGCCGGTCGTGCATGAGGAAGGGCAAAATCGAAAAATCGAAGCCAGCCCAGCAGGGCAGCCAGCCCAGCGGGCTCTCGACTCCGACCAGTCAACCGACTGGCCGGCCGACGGGTTGCCAGAAACGCGCCTCAGAGAGGTCGGGCGTGGGAGCAATGAGCCGGGTCGATGGCTTGCGAGGAGCCAGCCAGCCAGCGAGGCAAAACAAGCAAGCAAGGCGAGTCAGGTAGCCAACGGGCAATCCGCGCACGCTGCGCTCGCTTGCTCGCAGCAACGGGCCCAGGGACGGGCCTGGCTTGCATCACAGCACGCCGGATCCTTGTCGCTCCGCTGTGGGTCCACCAAGCTAGCCGTGCGCGGCGCCGTCCGTACGTCGTGGGTGTTGGGGCGAGCAGCGAGCGAGCGGAGTCGTCGAGCCGAGACAGGCAGCTGCCCGTCAAGCCTAGCCTGGCTCCTTCGAAAGAAGCAAGCAAGCCGAATCAGCAAGCAGCAAGCAAGGAAAGCGAGCAGGAAGATCTCTCGACGAGGAGAGATGGCGGACCGATAACGAATCGCGACCGGCTCGCTTCCTGCCGCTCCGCCCCCCGGCTCGAGCTAGCCTAGCCTGCTGGCGCCTGCGATCCCGAGCGCCATCCGACGTCGAACCGATGGCGGTCTTGCCTTGCGCCTTGGCTCCTACCGCATACTGCGGGAGGTCGGTGCACCCGCCCTTGGATGTCGAGGATCGCAAGCATCGGCAAAGAGCCAGCTGCAGCGATCCTAGCGGCAGCAGAAGAGAAGGCAGCGACAGCGATAGATGATGCCAGTGCCGAGGGTGAAGCGTCTGGACGTCCGCAGTGAGGCCATCGTGTGCGTCGCCTCGTGCGGCGTGACGACGTTGGATGATGATGGACAAGGACAGGCGAGGCTTGGCGTCCTCTGATGCGGGGCAGGAAGCCGGCATAGCATGAGATCCACCCGTGGCCGCCAGATCGACGTCCACCGCCCCAACACAAAGTTGAAGCTGACAAGGCAAGGCAAGGCAGCAGCCGCCATGCGCCGTGCGCCGCCGCGATGGTCGGTGCGTGCGGGCGTGCTCGGTGAGCGGAAGATGGAGGCGGATGCGGTATGCTGACCGCCTTCGACGAGAATCTGGGGCAAGGCAAGGGCGCAGCTTGCTGACTTCCTGCTCCGACCCCTTGCCTGCGGCGGAGGATGGCGGCGGGTCCCCACGCTAGCGCCCGCACCCCGCGCTCGGCGATGCCATCGAGCCGCCGACCTCGTCGTCGTCGTCGTCGTCGTCGTCATGTCGGCCGTGGGAGCGATGGCGTGCTCGACGCTTCCGTCCGGCCCGAACGTCGACTCGGAATGGCAGCGAGCGAGCATGGGCGGTGCAGAGGAAGCTAGAATCGCGCAGCGCCGCCGAGGATGGCATGTGGCCGAATTGCCGAGCAAAGGCGGGGTCGCTGCCGAGAGTGGTGGACCTGAGAGAGCAGGGCGCGTCGAAGAGGGCTCGGGGCCGAAAGCGGGGTGGTGGCCATCTCGAGTCGATGCAGCAACGACGGGGTTGGGGGCGGGGCGAGGTGGCAGATGGGCAGCTTCGTGGCAGGTGGGGCCCCACGCAGTCCGAGCGATTGCTCTTTGTACTCGACCGAGCTGATATGCAAGGCGACGGCCGTGTGCTGGCGGCGACGAAGCCCGATGGCGCTCGATGGCCAGGCAGTCCCAGCTCTTAGACGACGACGGCGCTACCGCCGGCTGTCAAGGATCATGTCGGGTCGGGTCGGATCGTCGACGGAGCGGGCGGTTCCGACCGAGGTCGCGCCGAAGGTGGCCAGCTGTCAGATCGATGATTGTCCATCTGCGCGACCGACGACTCGACCGGCGGACCGATACGCAGCGAGCGGTGTGGGCCTGGAGCGGCAGCTGACTGGGGCGGGCAGGTCATAGATGGCGCGACGTCGCCGTCGATGGCGTGCCAAAGGAGGGCGAAGGCAGATGACTGGCTGGCTGGCTGCGGTGTCAAGGCGAGATGGCGTTGGCGGCAGTGTGATTGTGTCGTCAGATAGGTGAGGGCGATGTTCAGGCCCAGCGTAACCCTATCTCGGTGCTGTCCGTCCGTGCATGTTGACCGGGCGATGACGATAACGATACCGAGGCGCAACAGATAGTGGACGGACGATAGCGTCGACCGGACAGGAAGCATCGCAGCGCACCCCCTCGAAGGCGATGGCGACCGGGCGACGAAGGCGACGTCTTCTTCCAGCAGCACGCCCGGCAGCACCGCCGGCTACGGTGTCGACGGTGGACCAGCTCGGCACGCTACGGCACGGACGAAGCGGCGATGGAGCTGGAGCGGGTGCATCGACGTCGGCCACCGAGGCGGGGAGAGGGAAGGGGGATGCGGAAGCAAACGGACGGGCGGCAAGGCTCGGAGAAGCGGATCTCTCCGGCGCGCTTCCGAAGCGCAAGCAAGCAGCACGTCGGCCGGCAATGGGCGGCGAAGCCGGCAGGCAAGGGCTTCGAAAAATTGAAAAGAGGTCGTGGCTGACCGGCTATCGAGCCCGGGGCTGGCCAGGCCTGGACAAGCAAGCCCGCGTGCTTTGCTCGTGATACCGATAGCGTGCCGGCAACGACATGGGCGACGTAGCTGGCTGGCTGGCTAGCTAGTTGGATCGTCGGAGAGCGGGCCGAAGCCGAAGCGGCAACTCCCACCGCCAGCAGCGAGCAGAATGTCGTTGAGGTGCGCTCGTCGCGGTCGTCGTCGACGTCGTCGGAGCGCGGGCCGACGGTCCGGTCCGGTCGAGGCGGAGGCCAGCCTGGCTCGGTGGTTGGCGCGCTCGCTGGCGAGCCGGCAGCCCGTCGATGGCCAATCTCATGGATATGGCAGCGCAGTCGTGAGGCGATGAGAGATAGGGGGGTCAGGTCGACCATTCGCAAGGGTCATCGATCAGGTCGGCGGGTCGGCGAGTCGTGGTGGGTCGCCGGACACTGTCGATGGCGTTGGCGTCAATGCCGTTGTGCTGGCGTCCATCATGTTCGAGGTCGGAGATCAGGGCGGTATGGTGGTAGAGCGTAGAGAAGGATCGAAACAACGAGGCCGGGAACAGATAGCGAAGAGGTAGGCTGCTGGCCACGACGATCCCACCCGGCCTATGTATATGTCGTAGCAGGGGCGGGGACGGGGGGGCGGCCTGGGTTCACATGCTTCTTTGGTTTTTCCCGCTGCCCTGCTTCGTTCGGGTCGAAGCGGGGGGAGGTCAGGGGGGAAGGGCAAGACAGTGGGGACCTGGGGGCGCGGGGGGACGGCGACGACGGCGACGACGCCCAGATCCCGTCCGCCTCGTTTGACATCGACCCAAGCAAGCAAGCACGCACGCCTACACGCACGCAAGCAGGCAGGCAGGCATCGCAATGGACGACCCAGGCATCGACTTCGGCCCCTCCGCCGGTTGATCCAGCCACCACCGGTAACTGGCAGCGGGGTGGCTCGCCGTCGTGACGACACGAGACGAGGAGGTCACCGTCAACATGCTGGGAGAGGCGGACGAGGAGAAATGCGGAGCGGCTCGGAGCCCCCATCGCTGCCCGGTCCTGGGTCGCAGCTTCGGAAAGTGCCGCTCGGCCTGCCTGACTTTGACGCCGCACCCTGGCCTCGCCTCGTGGCCTGGCGGCTTTTCCTTCTTCCCGCCTGCCTGCCTGCCTGCCTGCCTCGCTCGCTCGCACACCTCAACTCTGTTTTCTTCTCGCAGGCGTGGCCGGACCGGTGAGGCTGCCATCTGCCACTTCCCCCACCTTCTCGAGTGTCGAACCAATCCCAACATCCCAGCTCAAGCCTGAGCTCCTCTCGACGATGGTCTTGGATGCATGCCCCGGATTGGACGGCATGGCATGCGAGCGCTGACCGAGCCTAGGCCTGTATGACAATGGCCTCCTCGTGCCCGCCGTAGGTGGACTCGGAGGGAACGCAGGTATCGTAGGGTGGGATGGCCGTCGCGCGACGAGGGTGGGTAGCGACCGGCAACCTTCCCTTGGCACCTTCCCTGGCCCCCTTTTCCGGCGCTCCTTCCGGCCTGATCCTGTCCTGGGTGCATACAGCAAGCAAGCAGAGCGAGCCACGTCGTCATTGGCCGTGACCGCCTGGTCGGACAAGCCCTGCTTGCAGCCTCGCCGCGGGTGTTGGGTCGAGCAAGACACCCAGCAGATTGTCCTTCGATTGCTTCGAAGCGCGAAGACACAGCGACGAGTTGACCGGTCATGCCATGTCCTGTAAGCCATGCTTGACGAGCCTTGGAAACACAGGAGACGGAGACAGGGAAGAAACCCGAGGACCGACCCGGGAGAAGGGCCCATGGCGAGGGACGGACGCCGGGCAGGCCAACAGCCAGGCATCGGAGAGTTCTCCGGCCAACGGGCAGGCTAGCACCCCGCTCGTCCCGACCACGATGACGGGATTGTCCAGGCCTCCTCTGCGACGACGAAGCAGCGAAGATGGCGGCAATCTCGAGTCGCCCTGGCCAGGAGATTGCCGGCGTCCTGGACGGGACTGGACTGGACCGGATCGCATCGGACCCGGCTGAAGTCTACTCCACCTTTGCCGGACGACCGTGCCTCGCTCGACCCTGCTGTCGGACGAGGGGTGGTCGCAAGGATGCAAGAAGCCGTCGTCACAGCCAGGGGCGGAGATGTCCGAGCAGGGTCGAGTAGTGCGCCATGGCCGAGGCGGAGCATCGGTGGTATAAAGCAAATGTAGCATTCAAGTCGCACGGAGATGGGCAGATGGCCAGGCAGTCAGTCGTCCCGACGGGGTCAGTTGCCCGCCCGACTGCCCTGCCTCACTAGAGCGCGCCGATGGCCCGGAGGATGCTCCTGAGCGCGTCGACGCGATGCAGCGCCTGGAGGTCATCGTTGCCGCCGAGTAGCGTATCGCGGGCGAGGACCGTCGGAAAGGTGGCGTGGCCGGTCAGCTCGGCCAGGAGGGGCTGCAAGGTGCGAGCGTCGGAGCGCAGGTCGACCTCGTAGGCGGTAAAGTCGGCGCCGAGCTCGCGCAGCAGCTCCTTTGCCCTGAGCGAGTGCGGGCAGTAGCTCTTTGAAAAGACGACGAGGCCCGTGCTGGCGCGCACCGCCTTGACCCAGTCGGCGCGCGACTCGCGGTAGACGGAGAGGGCGTTGGGGCGGGCGGCGTGCGACGCCGACGACGGGTCGACGTCGAGGCCGACTTCGGAAAGGAGCTGGGTGAACTTGTTGGTGGCGCCGCCGCCGAGCAGGCCAAACACGCCGCCGATGGGCTCGCGGTCGAGGTAGACGGCCTTCCAGTCGGTCGGGACGAGGTAGGTGGGCGTCTTGAGCGCCTGGAGCAGCAGCAGCGTGGCCTCGTCCTTGATGGTGAAGCGCTTGTCCTGGGCGGCGATCTGCTCGGCCAGCTGCGGGCTGGCCGCCGCCGCCTTGGCCGCCTCGGGGTCGGCGCCAGCGGCGAGCGAGTCTCGGAAAGCCGAGAGGGCATCGGTGCCCTTGAGGTGAAGCGAGTCGAGCAGCGCGTTCTGCACGGCGCCAGACGACGATGAGGACGAGGGAGATCCGGGATGGGGCTGTGCAGGAGCAGCCGCCGCCGGCAGCTTGCCGACCAGCCCGTTGACCTGGGCGAGTGGCTCGGTCAACGAGTCGAGCATGGCCGGTTTCGCTCCCGTCGACGACGGGGCGGCCGCATCCTCGCCCCAAGGGTTGTGGTCGCGGCTCAGGGCAAAGGAAAAAGGCGATTCCACGGTCCCGCTGTAGATGAGCCCAAGGTAGACGAGCGGGATGATGAGCATCACGAGGTAGGCCTTGCGGCGCCGGAAGAGGGCGACGGGGGCCACGAGGGCGCCACCGCCGCGGCCCGCCTCGACGTCATGGTAGCGCGCCTCCTTGATCTTGCTGTACGAAGACATGCGGTGCGGACGCGGGTACAGCTGCCTTTTGGGGTCCAGTTAGGTCGTTCAACGGGTGTCTGCAGGCAGCATCGTCGTGGGTCCCTGCCGTGGTGGTGGTGGCGATGAGGAGGCAAGAGAGGTGCGAGCGAGCGCGGCCGGCCCGAGCCGATGGGGAGCCCGCCGCCCGCTAAGGAAACCTGGCTTGCTCGGGAGTCGGGACGGCGCCGAAGCGGGGCCCGCTGCTGCACTCCACTTTTTCTCGAGGGTTGGCAGCGGACAGGCCAGCAGCGAGCAGCGAGCGGCCAGCCAGGCCCATGGCAAAATTCGCAGCGCAGACACAGGCAGCGACTCTGACGTAGCGGGCCAACCTCTTTCCCTGACGACCAACAACACCACCACCACCATTACCGCTCCCGCTGATCCCCCGCATTCTCCATCCCTCGACCAGCACAATGCCGTGAGTGAACGAAGCGCGGTCGCTATCGGAGAGTAGAGGCGCGAGCATGCTGACCCGCGCCGTGAGCCGCTGTCTGCACCGTCCATCGACCACCGCCCCAGGATCAACCAACGTGAGTGAGCGGCAGCAGCGCCAGCAGCAGCGGCACCGCGACACCGCGGCACTGGAGTCCCACTCTTCCCTGCACTCTTCGAGGCGCTAACCCTGTCGCTCTCGGTACCATCCCCCGGTTCCTCGCCCCGCAGCATCCAACCAGATCAAGCTGACCAACGTCTCGGTCGTCCGCCTCAAAAAGGGCGGCAAGCGCTTCGAGATCGCCTGCTACAAGAACAAGGTGCGCGAGTGGCGGACAGGAGTGTGAGTAGTGTCGATCCGTTTTGAAGCACCCGAGCGCCGAACCGACGTGCCGCCATGCCGCATCTGCGTACTGACCTTGGCCGTCTGACCCTCCATCGGGGCTCCTGCTCGCCCGCGCAGCGAGACCGACTTTGACGAGGTGGTGCAGATCGAAAACGTCTTTTCCAACGTGTCCAAGGGCGCCCTCTCGCCCTCGGACGACCTGCAAAAGGCGTTTGGCACCACCGACACAAAGGAAATCATCCTCCAGATCCTCAAAAAGGGCGAGCTGCAGGTGGGCGAAAAGGAGCGCAGCCACGAGCTCAGCTCGACCTGGAGGGACATTGCCACCCAGGTCGCCGAAAAGTGCGTCGACCCGGCCAGCCAGCGGCCGTATACCGTCGGCATGATTGAAAAGGCCATGCACGAGGTCCACTACAGCGTCAAGACGGGCAAGAGCGCAAAGAGCCAGGTGCGTGCCGTGAAAGCCACGAGGGGGCGAGGCGAGCCGGCCTCATCGCTGACAGGGCTGCCCTCCTTGACCCCCCTTTCACCGACCGACCGGCCGCCAGGCGCTCGACGTGATCCGCCTGCTGCAGGAGAAAAAGACGATCCCCATTGAGCGCGCCAAGATGCGGGTACGGGTGACGATGCCCAACAAGGACGGCAAGAAGATCAAGGACAAGGTCGTCGCCCTTGTCGAAAAGGTCGAGGATGAGGACTGGTCCGACGAGTGGGAACTCGTGAGTTTCGCCCCGGGTGGCGGGGGGCTGGGGTGGCACGCGACCTGCCGTCGAGATCGTGTGCGGTGCGGTGCGGTGCGGTGCGCGGGCCAGATAGCTAACCTGGTGAATGCGCTCGATGTCTCCCTTCCTGGGGCCACTCCGCGCTTCGGGCAGATTGCGTCCATCGACCCGGGTGCGCTGCGGACCATCAACGAGCTCCTCGAGGCCGAAATCAAGGGGCGCGGAAAGGTCGAGACCCTCAACTTTACCACAGTCAGAGAGGCAGACGGCGACGAGAGGCTCGAATAGGCCCTCTCGTTCCCGGCGCGTCGGTGGGCGGGGGATAGTAGCAGAGCGGGCGGGGGGCGACGAGGGTGGGTGCGACTCCCGCTCGACCTGTGTGCGACTGTCGCACTTGCGACGAGGCCTGTCTTCCTTCATTGCTCCACTCCGCTCTGTCAGTCTCTACCTGAAACCCGATGCCGATGGCCGACTCACGATGAGATCACGACACACGATGCAGGCTCAAGCGGCCAGCGAGCGCAGACCGACAGACGGACAGACCGATCGAGAGAGATAGGCAAGAGGAAGGAGGGGGGGAGGAGCAGGACGAGCCTGCCCCCGAAGTCTGTTGCACAGCGACAGCGACGACGACGGCGAAGCCAGAGAGAGGCCGAGGGCGGGGGGGGCGAGGGCGGTGGACTTTAGTGGTTGGGACGACGGCGGAACCAGAGGACGTAGGGCGAGTTGGTCTGTACGTCGTCGAGGCCAGGGGGGGGGGCAGAGGGGTCAGGTCAGTTGCGCGTTCCGCGTTGCAGTCGCTCGAATCGGAGGACAGGAACGAGGCGAGACGGGACGAGACGGGAGCAACGCACATGGATCTGTCGGTCGTCGCCCTTGCTGATGCGGCTGTCGTCGCAGTACCACCAGTCTCCGTGGTTGCGGATCGTGGCCGTGTCTAGAAATCGGTCCGCATGCGAGGGCACGGCGCGGCGTGGCGTGGCGTGGCGTGAAGGGATGAGAAGGAGAAGAGAAGAGTGCGAAAGGGGAGAGGCGTCGACATGCTCTCGAAACGGTACGGTCAGCCACCCGCTCCCTCGTTGCTGCACCCATCCGGCCGCGACGGACCGACTCACAATGACCGGTATTGAGGCTTCCAAAGTGATGCGTGACGCCATACAGGTCGTAGGTGTACGGCGGCTGCTGGCTCATGCTGGTCGGCACGCCCTTGCCCACCGCACCGGGCGGCAGCGGCGGCGGCATGTAGTTTGTCAGGTCGAGCCCCGACGTCGGGAACGTGACGGTGGTGTCGATCTTGTCGGTAAACGGGCCCTTGAAGCTGAACCGCTTCAGGTGGATCAGCAGCACCTGGGGCAGCCGCGAAATCGAGAGGCGCTTGCTCGCCTTGCGCGGCTTGTTGCACCGCGGGCAGTTCCACGCATCCGCCTTGTCCAGGATCTCTTCGCGCACAAAGGCGTCCAGGCACTGCTGCAGCGTCACCTTCGAGATGCCACGCCCGTGCGGGATCGGCAGCGAGAGGTACATAAACGCGTTGTACGTCGTCGACGTCTACGCTCGGCCGGATCGCCAGGAGAGTCGTGGAGGCGAAGGGAGAAGGGAGAAGAGCGGGAGAAGATCTGCGTCAGTCCAAAGCACTCGGAAGTGCGCGCACTCTCGACGGGCCGAGGGCGACGGCGACGGCGACGGCGACTTCCTGCCGCCCCGCGCCGCGCCACGCCGCCGACGCACCTTGCCGCACGTGAGGCACGTCATCTTGTTCCTAAACTGGCCCTGGAACCAGTCGACGATGAGGCTATCGTTGCGCATTCGGTAGATGCCCCACTCCTTGACGCTGGCAATCTGTTGCGGCAGCGTCTCGAGCTCCGTCTCGCGCTCCGGCGTCATCTCGACGGGCGGCGGCTTGCGCACCACGTAGTTGAGGTCCTCGTGCAGCCCGTCGAGCAGGAACGCCAGAAACTCCTGGCTGTCGTGCTGGTCGTAGCCGCGGAAGGCGGGCGCGAACCGCGCAATGGCCTCGCGGAACGTCACCGGCGACACGAACGTGTACTGCTCCGACCACATGACGCGCACCAGCTGCGCAAACGCCTCGGCCAGCGCACCCTGCGTGCCCAGCGGATTCACCTTGTTGATCGCCCGCTTGTACGAGCCGTCTGGCGCGGCGAGATGGGCAGGCAGGGGGGAAGGTCGAACGAGGCAGAGAAGAGCGTCCGTGCGGCACGCGGTCAGAACAAGGATGGACGGACGGACGGTCAGTCGACTGCGGCGGTGCTCCCGACACGGGCGAGCACGCTGCCCTCGGACCACGCCCACTCACCGAGCAGGAAGCGCGCCAGCGGGATCGTCGCGCTGAGGCACTGCAGCGTCGAGTTCATGTAGCACGAGTTTCCAAGGTTCTTCAATCCCGTCAGGCCGATGCGGACGTCGTCGGCCGACCGGCCGTTGGACGCCGTGGTGCCGCTGCCGCTGTACATGCGCGACGGCGTCGGCTGGTAGCCGGCGTAGCTGGGAGCCGCCGTCGCCGAAGCTCCAGCAGCGAGGTCCTGGCCGACGGCAGTCCGGCACCGAGCCGACGTCTGACGACTGCCAAGGCCACGACGAGGGG